CTGCCTCGATGCTCGTAACTTGTCGGAGCTTGGCCGAGCAAATGTCGATGGGGCCATTGGATTTGGATTCCATGGACAGCATGTTCCCACTGTGGGTGGAATTCCTACGGGTGACTACTGAGTGTGAAGGTCCTTTTACGATATTATTACTGTTATTGCCCAGATTGACATCTGTTAGATTCCATAGTCTAATCTTAGGTTCTTAGCTTTCTCAACTCTTCAATCAGCTTACGCTGCACCGCAGATTTTTGACGTAGACATCTATATCGAATGACTATTGTTATGACACAGATTGACATAGATATATCAATTACTTCGAATCATATCATATTATTTCCCCACCATAAACATCTACCAACACCAACTTGACACGCAGATCGTATAGTGTGCTCTCATTGGTTAAATTTCTTGGGAACCAAACCACCTGGGCATGCCCTAAGATGACATCAACCCTATAACTATATTCATATATCATTCCTTAAAGCTACATATTCCAATTCAATTCACATTCCAAGATGGCACCTCTAGGCGAAAACAACATCTCAATCCTCCTAGCAACAATGCAACCAAGTCTAGACCCAACAACTTACGTCTTCCTCACAACCAAATCACCCCTCCACTCACTACCCCTCTCGACACTCGAACCGCAACTAATCGTCCAAGAAGAAGAGGGCACAACGATTGTGACAACAGAAACACTCGCCACATCGCATGGGTTCAACGAGTTAACTTTCCCTTGCAAAAAGATCTCTCTTACTATCCACTCCAGCCTGGAAGCGGTCGGCTTGATCGCTGCCATTACTAACCGGCTGAAGGACCACGGTATTAGTACCAATGTCGTCAGTGGGTATTTCCATGATCATATCTATGTACCCGTTGCAAAGGCGGAGGATGCGATGCGGGTTTTGGAGGAAATCGCTGCTGAGGCGAGGGGATGAGAGGGGATTGTTTTTGCAAATGTTTAAATGCTGGATCTTGTCTATTCTTCGATGGTGACTGCAAAGGGTGTCTAGGTTTTTTTTTTTTTTTTTTTCGTGAATAGGTCTACACACAATTAAGCAAGAGAAAGCAAAATAAAATAAAAGCATGAATTAAACCCTGAGTCTCAGTATACTAACTAATGAATCTCGAATTTCTATCTTAAGCGACGCCGGAAAAGATCAGACATCAAACCCACCCCATACCCAATACCTAGGTAGTAATGCAACTCCACTCTGCGGGGGCCTTTTTTTGCGAACTTGGACTTAAATCAAAAGCGACAAGCCATTAAAAAACAAAGCAAAAAGAAAAACAAGAAAACACCGCCAATGTGGTCCTGGCTCTTAGATATTGTACATTTAGACAAGACGGAGGAACTAGGAACCAGAAGGACAGTGAGAACATGAATAATCAGGGTATTAATCGTACAGAGATATTGATTCATGAGAAAAAGAAAAAAGAGGCAGTTTGCGACACCGGAATACATGTAATAGGAAATTTAATAGTCTACCTCTTTCTCGATCACCATGATTAACTCGGTAAGCTCCTTACGCAGCGCACGATTTCGGTCCCAGACTTCGACGATCTTGGGACGTTGGCTGGTGAAGCAGGCCTTCTTCCAAGGAAGACCACCGTATTTGGACGTCGTCCGGTTCGGCAGGCCTCGGGCAATGTTGCGCAGCACCAATGCAGCTTTGTAGGCTACACCGAATGGTTCACCCTTTTCATTGATAGGAGTATCCATATAGTACCATTTGCGGACGATACGCTCTTGGAGTACTACACGCTTGGCGGTTGTGGGCTGTGCGTCTGCGGGGCGATCTTCGGGCAAATGGGACGAAACATGACCAGCGACCATGGATGTATTGGGGCTGGGCCCAGATGCTCGGAACCGTGAACAGTGGTCCCATTGACAGGTGTGAATGGGAGTCTCTGCGGGTTCAAGTTTATACTGACCGGGGGTGTCTGTGGGTTCCAGGTTCATGTGGTCGCCGAAAACGTGATTCCGGAGATCTGTCGGAGATGTGAATGCACGTTGACACATCTTTGAAGGCTTTGAGTTGTCCGCCCATCTGCAGTAGGAATAAGGGAAGCCCTCAAATGTGTGTGCAGTTTCTAAAGGTCGAATGCCCTTGATAATGAATTTGGTGGCAGTGCCGGGGCCGTTGATGACCTGGGCTTGAGCGTTTGTGAATGTGTTGCTGACGTTCTTGATGAACTCTGCAGCAGGAAGAACACCCCCTCCAGTAACACGGGGATCTGCGAATCGGCTTTGGTAGGCTTGCCATAAAGCGATCTGTGTGATCTCGCATTCTGAATCCTCGATGAAGCAGCAACGCAGCCACTGGGAGCTTCGCTCTGGCTCGGAAAGTTCCATGAGTTTTTCCAAAAGCTCTGGGGATACACGAGGGATGTCAGTGGGTGGAGGTGCGACTTTTTCTTCCTGGAGAACAGTTTCTTTTTTGGTAGGTCGTGCTTCATAGGTCAGCAGTGCGACCATGCGAGGGACAAAGACGATTGGGAAATTGAGGACATCCATCAATGTCTCGATGTTGTCATGACTGAGTGTGTATTGATACCAAAAGTCCAGTGCGCCACTCAGAATATCCTTGTCAAGGTCAAGAAGTGTGTGATAGTACATCTGCTGAAGAGTCGGTCTGGTCAGGGTTTCCATGGCCCGGTTGGCATCCGCATCGTCTAGCTCAGTACCGAAGTGTGTCAAAGCCCACAGGGACCGCACGACGTGAGCGCGGTCTGGGGAGTCAAGGCAATTCACCAAAGAAATCCACAATGGATCTTCATGGTCAGTTCGTAAGAACTTAGTGACCTCCTCGGCGATATCTAGTGCGTCATTTTTGATTTCGTTCAGTCGAGGTTGATTGGGAGCATTGATCAAGATAACCAAAAAGTCCCGTAATAGACCATTTGCATAACGTGACACATAGAATGCGTTCTCCTTCAGGAGCACCATGTTTCGCAACACTAATGTGGCCTCTTTGATGTTTCTCAGGCGATGATTGAAGTCGTACGTCTCGAGGCTGTCGTCTGGGAGGTTCACTGGGATTTTGCTAATTTTGTCCAGAATATCCCGGGTGCCATGCAACGAATTGAGCACATTGACACGGTCAATCGGTTTCCGGGGATCATACTGGAATTCCCACTTCACCCCCGTGCAGAGTTGTGTGATGTCAAGGGCTTTCTGCATCAAAGTTTCCGCAAGCAAGGGAAATCCTTCAAATTTGAATTTATCCCATCGTTGATTTGAAATTTGTACCAGGTGGTAAAGCGCAAAGTCGACTTCGTCTGGAATACCTGATTGCAGACCGTAGTGGGCACGTTTGTAGATGTGATCCGCTAAAGGAAACAAGACCGTCAGTATCTCTAGTTAATTTGTGGAATGGAAGGGAGACTGACTCCTTGGAACCTCCAGATATCTCAGTGGGAAATAAGGGTCGTGGTAATCCAATTGCCGGGGCACTTTCGAAGGGTCACGCAGATGGGAAAATATGACTGGTCGGTTCCCTGGGGTCGGGACTTCCCTCGTCGACATGGGAACCTGTCGATTGTCTTTTCCTTCCCAGCTATCGACCACGAACTGCGCGCTCTGGGGATTGGCCGTGGGATTGACGTTTACATGATGGGGGCTGGTTGGCGGTTGTGGTGATGTGAGCCCGTGATGGATGTGTGATCGACGGGCAGGGGTTGTATCGGGGATGAAGGGTTGGTTGATTTTTGGAGCATGGCGTAAGCCCTCTGTGGGTGGAGTTAGTATAGGTACCACACCTGCCGTCTGAGAGATGGTAGTCTTACGTCGCAGCGAGGTGCGAGGGGTAGAGCCAGACATGGTGCTGCTTAGGAACGCGACAGCGTTGCGCCGTTCACGTTTTCAGACGCACGGGGTGGTTCCGTCCTTGCAACGGAAGAGACTGACAAACTTGACCTCGAGAATTCGAGGGGCAATCGAGAATAAGAACTTCTGATCTCAAGACCGAAGACTTTGAATATATGGCTCGAGGGATGCTGCCCTTGATGCGTCTTCGTTTGCAAATGAGTCGAGCAGGAGAAATTGCAGGGGTGTCAAACTTGCGACTTCGTGTGGCTTTTGAAGGATCGAAGTCCGAAGGCGATAGGTTGATTCTGACCGAAAGAGGTGATAGTGACGACCAGTGGCTGTGAGACGGCTTGAGTCGCAGGTTTCGCGCGTTCGAATGTTGGAGCACTGGATGCGACGGTGAAAAGAGCAAAGTGCCCAGCAGCAACGTCAGTTCTAATGCAGTAGTAAATTTGCGCGTAGGCGATCAAAATCAGCGATATGGTTCAAAAGTAAAATAATTGTCAATGCCTTGCGGCCCTGGAGGGCTAGAGCTGGGCTTGCGATCAACGGCACTGACCAGCCAAAAGTCCGCGCTTCTCCAGGGCGCGTTATCGGATTATTCATTGTTCCTATTGATGACTAACGAAGATCATTGTATGGACGTACTGATGCCTCAGGCTGCAGAATTCCGGAGGATTTATTAATCCTACTCCGTACTCGTTTTATAAGCTATGTTAACTACTTATAGGTTAATCAAGGCTCCATAGTTAACTAGTTATAAATTGTTTGCAGAGCCGATGAGACAAAATGATCAGTCTAATCAGTCTCCAGTCCCTGGCTATGCAATTTACTCATTTTCTAATTGGAAGTTCAGCCACATAGAGTGTTCCTAAGGGAACCCACTGATGTCTTTTCGAGTCTCATCATCACTACTAAGAGCTTAAAATATTTTGAATTAAAATACAAGCCCCCGGCATACTTTAAAGCTGCTACATAGGGATTTAGTTGCCTATGCTGATTAAATATGTTGATAGGGTGGCCAATGCTAATCAACTCTAGGAGTGCTGAACTGAGAGCTCTCACCCTCTCCCTCACCACGAACATTATTCCACTACCCAGGTAAACACCACGCTCCTTCGTCATCTATATTATATCGATGGATATCTTCTGAGCTTGTACCCTTTGTTGATTACTCTCCCTCTATAAGATGCAGCATCTGCAACCACCCATCCCTCCCCAGGTCCTTCGTTTACCCATTGCCAAGTTCTCCCATACAACCACTGCCATCGATCATGTCGGTCCACTGACCTGGAATCATGTCCCTGGGAATGGAGACCTGACTTGCATATTTGAGAAGTTTCTTGATTCCGGGTCTATGCCATCCAGGATAGTTCAGAAAGTGGTTCGAGGTGATGATATCCTGGTACACTCCCACTTGCGCATAAAGCTTCACAGCCAGTAATGCTGAACATCTGGGTCATCAAATCTAGGAGCAGCTTGATCTCGTATTCTTCACTCGCATGGTAGGAATGCAGGCCCAGCTGATTCCACCCCCAAGGTCACACTTTGCTGTCGTGGTAAAGTCGCCTTGTCTTGCAGTCAAGTATCCTCATAGTGAAATACATGTGTGTATATTCTGCATATGTTTTTGGTAGTGATTTCTAACCTGATTGTTTTCTGTATCCACAGATTCGTCGGTTTCAGATCAAGTTTACTACAGAGCGCGACTACTTCATGGCCTTGACTCTTCTGGGCGAAATCAACTGTCCATTGACAGAAGGCAAGATACCACTTCCAGTAATACAACGGTTTCCTTCAGTGTCATCATGGACATCGGGGCAGCTGTCTTCCATTGTCCCCAGGACTACAAATACAGCGTCAACTTCAACTAGGGGCAATGGAGTCCACTTTTACCCCACGGGAGCTTTAGGGTCTGGAAGGACAAGTATGTACCGATTTCTCTGACAACACCTCAAGCAGCTATCTCACATCCTTGCTTTGGCTAGCACCCATTCGAGCATCATCTCCTGCGAGCACTATCTCACACCCAACATCCAGATTGGGCCCTGTACCAGCTTTCAACCCCTCATGCCAAGGTATGAAACCGGTGGATTTGTCTCAACCACCGAATGCATCTGCTATCGCACACACGTCAAACAAAGAACCAGAGCCACCAAGCTCTCAGCTTTCCATTATATCTGCAATTCATGATGTCGATCAGTTAAACCAGATGCTCCCTCCCAAGAGAGACCTTCCCTTCTCAAAGCCAACCACAAGGAAACCACAATCTGCAAGCTTGACTCGAACAGCACAGAAGAATCCCCAGCCAGCTCTGTTGCCAAGTTCTCAACACACTGAGCCAACCGAGGATCCACAGGCTGATCCACAACCCCTCGTAGTGGAGCCTAATACTTATTCTGCTTTGCCCGACTCCGATTCACAGCTCTTATCCCAAACAAATGCTTACCCCGAGGCTAGTCAGCCATTATTACTTTATGAAGAGCCTACTGTTTTACAAAATACATCTCTAGTCTGCGAGTCTGCCCAACAGACACCCCAAGTACCCCGCGTTCAGAATACATCGCACTCACAGGATAATCTAACTAACTCAAATTCCAACGACAACCCGGCCAGCAAACCGAACAATAAAGCTCCAGGCACGACAGAAGACCATCTTGCGCAGTATTTGTCCTTACCAACAGTTGAACGAATCGCCTTTCTTGAGAACTGGATGTGTGAATTGATCAACGATGACAGTTTCATGACTCTGTGCGAGGACGTGGATGGAACATGGAGGCGGTTTGCATTCGGAAAAAGGCAGTGAAAGATATGGGCTACTATTTTCTTGTTCTATGGAATACTATATCTTATTTACTAATGTCTGCAAGGTAATTTTCGGCTCATCTTCAGTCTTCCTCGTCCAGTTGTATCGTGTGATCAATCTGAGTCCCAGACAAATTTATCAAGAGCAAATGCAAATGCATGTTCCACTTGAATCCCCATTGAACATATAATGGCAGCCATAGACATTAAAACACGTAGTATAGTATAGGCCCACTTGGTCACTTTGATACTAAAGCATCTCGTGCCTCGATCCAAGGCCACCGAGGCCCAATGCGAGGAGATAATGGGACAGATAGGTGTTTGTGCGTGTTGTAATAGTGCGGTAGTGCTGCTATCGGCTACGCCACAGGCGCAAACTATTTCCGCAGTCCGTTGGTATTCGGGGATCATCGGAGATATCTCCAAATTCGAGGCTAGTTCCAACCTTCCCGTGCATCATTATAAGGTTCGGCGATCTCACCCAACGTTACACAAAATCTAAAATCCACCGATTATTACTTGGATATGTTATCTAGATTACTGTATCGCAGGTTAACCTCCGTATATCTGAAAACGTTGGGCAGGGATCATCAGCTCAATACGAAGATTGCAGGACACGCAATAAATCAACATATCTCTTGAAGATCGAGGTCCAATTACCTATGATAGACCGATTTCATGTCATGCACATTAAGTGAATAAGAAATGCTTAAGCTCTGGCCTCTATCGTATGTCAGTTGCTCGAATATACCTTGGATTGTAAGATATTCCGATGTTTCTCCCGAAGTTGTTATTCTTCATGCGTCAGTTTTCCTGTGGTGAACAGTCAAGATAGTCATTTTACTATACGTCCCGGTATACAATTGGCCGGTACTACTGGAATAATGCACATCTGGCGGGGCAAAAGGAAGAAACAGGTCTGGAGAAGAAGGCCCTAGAGTATGGGACGAAGGCAACCAACGTGGAGAACGATTTAAACAAATACGAGCTTCTGACTTTGGTATGTACGTCGAACTGCAATCTACTCCATACAGAGTCTCTACTGAACTCAAATATACTATCTGCATAAGTAGATATCCGTGCAACAACACCGACTCTCTACTGTCAGAATCATTCGCGTGATATTTCACATAAATACCCCCTCCAGTCTCATAGTAGATAGATAAATTAAACTCATCAATCAAACATTCTTACCGTTGAATCCCACATGCCTTATATAGCCCGGACAAGTGCTCTCCCCGAGCTAGCTCTCAGTGGCGGGCTCATTGACCCCCGAGCCGATACACAGGCTTCATTCAAAAAACGGATGAACTGCCGCGACGCAACCGACTTCATTTCCAACACCAAGCTTCCATCTTTGGAATCGATGCACAAAATGGCTGGCGTTAGTCCTACAACTTGGAGTGGGCAACGCCGCAAGCCAGATAGCGAGTATCAAGCCAAACTCGACAAGATCCTAGCCCGTTCGAGGGAGCTTGGGCTTTCTCGCAGAGAAAAGAGCCCAGGCCAGCCCTTGTCCGACCTTGTACCGGGGTTGGTTACCAGCGGTGGTCTCAGTCGCTCGCCTGCTTTCGATTGTCTGCCCGTAGCCTCCCACTGGACTGATCGTACCGACGAGGTTTCGGCAGAGGACCCTGCTGCCACCATCCGCCTTTCTTCCACATGGGGTACAACTCATCTCATTGGAGAAGGAACTACCATGGCCTACCCTCTTGGTGCCCCTTGCTGGTCGCTCAAGACTCATGGCATAGGACCGGTCGAAGCTGGGTCAAGTAAATTTTCTCAGCAGTACAGCCCTGAAACCGACACTCTGACAACATCGGTCACCTTGGCACGTCGTCTCGATACCCCTCAGACCGGGGAGTTCTGGCAGCCGCCGCAAGTACCTCTTGGATGCGCAACGCACGCGTTGCAGACGCCGTCGATTGTGCAGTCGGGCTTCTAGCCGACGCCTCGGCTCTCTTGGAAGCCCGTGATAAGGTAATCACAACTGGAACGACAGAGCGTCTAGGATTTGCAGAGGTGAGAGCGATTGAACTGCCCTCTTGGTGCTCTGCTCGCAAGCCCCTCCCACCGAAGCTGAGTGGCGTGGCGCTCTCACCCGATCAGATCACTGCCGACCTCATCGCAGCAGAGGGCTGCGAAGGCCCTCTCCTCAATACCAGCATTTTCTCCATGGGTGTGGGCTACAACCGGGGCGTCTATGGTGGTTCAATCTCTGGCTTGTGGGCTCTCATGGACTCGGGTTTTGTCCTTGATTACTCTGTGGGCGTCAAAGACTCCGATATGGCAGACAAACTCTTTTCTGCTTTCTCAGATGTAGCTGCCGTTGCTGAAGTATCCCCCTCTGCTGGCCCACACATCACCGATATACGAATCGTCAAGGGCTGCAATTATGGATGTTTACGCCAGAAGACCATTATCGAGGATGTCCATCCTATCCCCTCCCGCCCGTGTGTTGTTATATGGGACGATCTCGCCCGTCTTGCCCGTTATAAACTAGCGGATGCCGTCTTCTGTCACGTCTACTACGACGCGGGTGGCGGTGAACAGATGGCTGCTATCGCCGGTCTTGGGTGCGTTGCACATGACTGGATTGATCTTGGAGCTGATGTAGCATGCGGAGAAGTGAGCAACATCATCCCTTCCCTGACGCGGGGGTCTTTGGAGGAGGAACCACTAGCTGAGGTTTACTCGCGCTTAACTGGTGCTATGATCTGGTATCGGGACAACGACCCTTATAACCCAGCAGCCCTGTGCCTTCTCTTCACGCACTGGTGGCAGCTCGCCAACTGCAGACACAGACCCGTCACGCTTCTCGGCAGGACAGATTTCGGTGTTGAAGCAGCTATCGCCGCCACCGTCCCGACAGAGAGACCCTCGTTGGAACACTTCCGAGCATGCGGCACTAAGGTCGAGCGTGGGGAGCATCCTTTCGCCAACGCCGAGGCACGGCTCCAATCAATCCTTTCCTCTGACCCTTTGCCGGAAACTCGTGCAGTTATCGACCTCCTTGTAGCCCCTATCCTCGCTTACGTGAAAGGGGCTGATAGCCTACCCTATGAGAGTGAGTACGCTGGGGCCGTCCTCGCTGCCGAACTGGCTTATCCCCACGGGCAGAAAATCATAGAGCTATGGGATCTTGCTATCGTTATGTGGGAGAGCGGCGCATTGTGGGCGGCTGGAATTGCATGTCTTTGCTATACGCACAATGGAAAGGCCAACTGCGACCGGGCTCGGGATGACTTGGCTGACACCACCTGGACTTGATTGTGCCACCGTTAACTGTCTCCATCTGCGGAAACATTCGACTATGTGCTCATTGCTCGTGCCAAAGGGCCGCAAATATGGTCTGCAGGCTGAAGTCATGGACCCCAGGGAGACCACCAACATAGAGCTTGGCGCGTAGCGTCTTATATGTCCTTCGTTGTTGGCTAGTTATACTATAGAACACAGGCCTCAATAAATGAATCACTCAACACATGGAATCCAGCAAGTGGGTAACTTCAACGCGGGCATCAGAATTGCACCTACACCGGAAAACAAGCACCTGAGAACTTTATAGACGAGACTTTCGTATTTATCAATCCTTCAAGCAGAATAAGTGAAATGTGTGGTATTGAGGTTAAAAGAATGCCCTACGAAAGTATGGTGACAAGCGCAGGTACACGAAGGCTGTGCCGAAGTACCCAACACATGGGAAGATCAAGCGACAAACTGAAAAGGTGAGGCATCATCGATGTCTTCAACGCGCCCTACCTCTGCATAACTGCCTTTGAGAACATTGACTTTATAGTAGAAAATACCATCACTCAAGACAAACATGCTGGGAAGGCCCGTCGGAACCAAAACAAACCCCTCCTGCGGCTCGGAACTATATCCAATAGTATAGTGGAGCATGCAACGGGAGCAACGATCGAACCGAGTATGTTGCTTACATCCTTCGTCCAGGTACGCAGCAACGTCAGATTCCATCATAACAACCAGATATTTCCCATCATAGGAGCGGATCTGTGTCTTCCCATCATGTTTGGAAAGCTGAAAAGACATGCCATCACTGTACGGGTTGCCACCGAAATACAGCTTGCTTGCGAATTCCCCTGCATCGCCTGTCCAGATACTGTCGCCGTTGATGGGATATAAGGAGAACCATTTATCGGGGTGGTAGAGATCAACCCCGTCAGCGGAAATGGGGTTGCTCGCGTCAATGATAGGATTGGGAATTGACGGGGCAATGGGAGGTTCGGCATCGCCGTAGTCTCCCACCGGGTCGAGTTGGACTTTGACGGCATTATCAGCGTCATTCGCCCACTTCCCATCCTGGGTTAGGTACTGTGACCCATTGCGGATGTAAAATACATCTCCGTCATAATCGGAATAGTTAGCGAGGACGCCGACATATGCGTTATTATGAATTATCGCCTCTTCATCATCGGAAAGGTAAAACAGAGAACCACGGGCATGGTAATCTCTGCATATCTCGAAGTTGTTGTCCCGATGGTGAATAGCAAGATATTGGCCGGTGACGATGAACCTGAATGGCCTGTCAAGCCCTTCATACTCCATGCTGGATCCTTCGGTGATAGCAAGAAACTGTTCAAGATCAGCTTAGCTGTTTAACTATACGGGGAGGCTTAAGCAAAAATAAATAGTGGCGTGGCCATAAGTAAAGATGGAGTCTAAGGGAGGAAACTATACCCGTACTATCGAGGCTTTCCTCTCAGCCTGGCCCTGGATGGGTCCTGGTAAACGTGACAGGCAGTCTGTGGTGAAAGACCGAGATACAAGAGAGAATTGTTTAGTGATTCCAAGGCTACAGTCGCCTTGTTTGTTGAGTTTGCATTGAACCTTCTAGGAATTCGTGGGGGCCCGGGCTATACACAAAGCCCCACATGTCAGGGTCTACATTAGAGATGAAAAGCCATTTCGCGCAGCCTAAAATTCGATGTAGATATCATACATAAAATATGTTCCATTTGAAGACTAACCCCCCCCCTGTTCCTAATCGAAACACAACTACAACATAAGATATTAGAGACAAACTTGAGCCATGGAGAAGCCCAGCGAACGCAAATATTACAAACGAAAAGCAATTTCTGATGGGGCTATTTTGTTCAGACAAAAAGGAAAGAAGAGAAAGATCAAGTTGAGAAGAAAGGACATGATCGCGAATCGAACTTAACGTGTGCGACGGTAGATCAACCCAGAGAAGACGTTCAGATAGCCCTCCTTAGTGAGCATAGTAAAGTCAACAACAACCCGACCCGACCCCCCGTTCGACTGGGTCAACTGAGGAGCAAGATTCTGCTCATTTTCCCCCTGGTCATTAGGAAGACCTGGCGGGGGCGTAGACGGGGCATTCTGACTGACTGAGCCCTCAGCGCCGACAGCAAGATCAGCAAGGTGCTGGAGAGAACGCTGCTCATTTGGACCCATCACAGGCTGCTGGGACTTGACGAGACCGCCAATCTCAGCTTCCTGGAGCTGGCTCTCCTGGGACTTGATACGGCGCCACTCAAGGAAGATGCGGATCTTGGCGTCCCATTCCGGGGTGCCGAAGATATTGTCGAACTCGGAACCCTCTGCTGCGCGCTTGGAGCGGCGGTCGAGGATCTCTTCGACTTTTTCGAGGGCGGCCCAGCATTCGCTTGCGTGTTCTGGGAGAACGGTCGCCTCGAGAAGAGTCATTGAGGCAAGGGCTAGACTGTGCAGATCAAAGGGTGACGGGAGGCGGGATTGCATGGTTGACTTATGCATCTCATTGATTACCTCCTGCGCACAGAAGATGATCTCGTACGGGCTATACACAAAGACATGGCGCTTGATGAGCAAACGGACGGTCCAGTAGAGTTGTGCTTGGAGGCTTTCGTAAAGTGGGCGGGTGGTAGAGTTCTCCGGTAGCTCGTGGATCTGGAATATGTCTTCCATCTCCGCTAGACGCTCTAGGGACGAGACTAGGTTCGCGCCGATGATACGACCCAGGCCGGAGTTGGTCTGGCAGACATTGTGGTCGACATTAGCCAGAGTGACCATCTCCGAGAGGAATGTCGAGTAGGCTAGGGCGAAAAGAGTCAGCAAAACATCACAATTATAAAACACAAGGGTGATCAACATACAGGCAATTCCAGTTGTGATTTGACCGACAACCCTTTCATCTTCACGACCGCCAATCTCATGGCCGCCCAGAACGGTGGCATCTGCCACACTGATAGCATACCACCGAGCCAAGATGACCAAAGACACCCAGTTGCGCCGGGTGAGGTTGGCATCCGAGTCGACATCAGGATCCACAGATCGCTTGTTCTTCAGCTGGCCTTGGCTCTTGGCCAAGTCATATCCGAGCTTGTTAGCCGCTTGGACCAGGCTACCCTTGGGAACACCATCTTTCAGAACGAAATTATCCGGTCCACGAGTATCACAGTCGATAATCATTAACAAAAGAGACTGGAGCCAGATAAGGTTGACAGGGGTCGAATGGACAATCAATGGCTGGCGGGTGTGGAACATGAGGAGATCCTGAGCATTATCAAAGCCATTGATCTTCTCGAAATTGCCCGCCACACGAGACATGTCAGTTCGAGTAACGCTGTACAACGCATGGCAGAAAATTTCCTGTGCTTCGCGATTGCATTGGTGCAAAAGCTCCAATGTGCGCTCCTTGGTGTGGGGAAGAATCGGCAGAAGGGTGTGGATCTTCTGATAATAGCTATAATCAGGTGTTAGGTGGATTTCTCATAATTACGAGGGACAAAAATTGCACATACGCGTCAAGAGCTCCTTCGTCCAGAGTCACTGGTGTCATGTCGTCATCCCCTTCATGCTTTGGTAGATCTGTCATTTCAAGGCCGCTTGGGAGATCATTCTCATGGCCTGTCGGGTTCCAGAACAGATTACCAGGTTTCGGTGCGTTGCCGCCGGCAACGGCTGGGTTGTACGGGTCTGCCGCCGTCTCAGAGGCGTCGAAAGCATTTTGCGATACCCGCGCGTTGAAAGAAGGTTGTGCAAACGAGGAGCTTGGAAGACCTTCGAAAACCGAGTAAGTCCTCTTGCGATTGCCCGAGGTGGATTCCACCGGCGATGCGAAATCCTGGTACCCTCTCGGTAGCGACACCTCGTTCATGGACTGGTATGGCACGTCAGGCTGCACGATCCCTGGTTGCATCTGGTTCTCGAGAGTATGGAGTCGCTCGGCGAGTTCTTTGATATAACTGTGTATCTGTCAGCGACGGCAATTCTTGTAGCGGCGCACTTGTTTTTTCCTACCCTTTACTGGGGCCGCGTTTCATCGGGACGCGACTGAACTGGCACACAACGCCGAGGCGTCTACAGTTGGAGCATGTTTCAAGGCCGGTTTCCGAACTCGCGTCGCATCGAACCTATAGAAGAAAACGCGTCTTAGTTTGGATGTACACAGTCGCATTCGGGGGAGTTGTGATCGTACTTTCTTTCGCCGGCACTCGTCGCAAGCCCTTGAGATCTTTGATCGTTTGCGCGCACTTTGTTCGCCATAGCTCAGGTCGTGATTCGGGTCTACGCCAACCTGTTGACTCGGAGGGAACTGTAACATGTGTTGGTGCTGGTGTTGATCCTCCGAAGAGGTTCGACCCATGTCAGCAGCATTGGAGGAACCCAACACCATAGACTGGCCATGGTGAACCCCGTTGTTTGTTTCGCCAAGGCCTGGACCAGACGCATCGCGGGAAAGTTCCGCGGACAGTAGTTCGTCGGTGGTCATTTGACGGTTGCCATAATACGAGGGCACGCCCTGGGCCATCTGCGCACCGTTGGGGGACGGGTAAGAGGGCGCCGGAGGCATGTCAGACTGCTCACGAGAGTTCATTGCGCGAGATAAAACCGAAAATCGCTAGGAAAATGATGGGTTGTGGGCAAAGCGGGCCTCCGGGGGATGGAGGGAAGATGGTGTAGGACGCGAAGTGCCAGAGGTGAAGTTTTGACTAAAATTTCGCGGGGGGGTATTTTCAAGGGGGCTAGCGCCGAGAGCGCCGCATTAAGCAACAACATTTGTACGGAGGATTCATTAGAATTAGATATTATTTTGAAGCTATATACAGTTGTTTACTTCCCCGAGTCTTTTTTGGATGATCGCACGGAGGACGGCCTTTCGTTTCTGCGTGTCGAACGGATTAATACTATTTCCCCTTCGGCTTCGGATGAACTACCAACACCTGAGCAAACAACTTGCACTTACACTCTTAAAATTCAAATTAGGGTACCATGATATATTTGGTGCTCATGCCATCTTTAAGGGT